TCCCCTGAAATGTATTAAAACTAATCATCCTGTTTGAAAATGTAAGGAGTAGAAAGTTTAGATATTTGTGCCAAAAAGAAGGAAGTAGAAGTAAAAAGTTCTCAGAAAAATAAATGACTTAAGTTGAGTATTGAAGTATTTGTACTTTGTTGCTTCCCACCTCTGGAAATATTTCATACTCTTTGAAAAAGTAGAGGTTTGCCTTTCGGGTAAACTTTGTGTGACCTGCTGAGTGGTGAACCACAGGCAGAATATCTGCACCACCAAGTAAAGTTAGTTTATCCTATGGATGAAGGGAGATTAAGATGTTACTCCTAAAGCATGGCAGCCATTCAACATGCATTTTTTCCACCATATGACTCAGCCATACAGTCTCCACTGTCGATCTGACAACCCAGTGCCCGCAGCTCGTCCTCTCACTAAAGACCTTCAGGATTCGGTACAAAGTGGTGTTTCTCTTCAGATGATTGCAGATCTATAAATCTTACAAATCTAACCATTTCTAAGCCTCAGACACTGTACAGTGAACCAGATGTTACTGACATTTTATGGCACTTGTGGGATCTGGGAGAACAGTGTTTGGAGATATGAAGTGATATTAGTGAGGATCATATTCTTAGATACTGTACAAGAAATATGAAATGTCTATGAGTTACTGTCCTGAGCAATCCAGACACATGGTAAAAAGCTCTGTAGGGTCTTTTTTTGTCCTAATTCTAGAGAGGAAACAATTTTCTGTGTTTAAATTGTATTATTCAAAAACAGTCTGGGACTGCATCAACAAAGTCTTAGGGTTTAGCAGAGCAACTTTGTCTACATTTTTCTCAAATAGTTTTCACTCTTTATTTGGATTTCTCTGCCCGGTGTGCATGGCGGGAAAATGGGTCAAGAAAGGAAAAGAGAGTGGGGGGGAGGAGAACAGAGTGGGGCCCACTGGTCCCTCAACATCCCTGTGTTGAATATGAAAATATATTATAGCATAATGTGTTCAGTATGCAAGCTTGAAGGAAACCATATGAAAAGATCCCAGACAAAGAGCCTTCTGTGTTCCAACTGACCCCCCTCCCACCCCCATCCTTCGTCTGCTTCATTTGAGAGAGAGAGAGAGGGAGAGAGAGGAGAGAAGCCAGGAGAGGTTAGTGGGGCGGTGTGTGTGGCAGAGTCGTAGGAGCTGAAAAGGGGCAGTACAAACACTCGCTGCCTCACACAGCCAGACCCACCGGAGTACAGGTGAGCAGCATGACTAAACCAACACAAGCCAAACAGGAAGGAGTACTGGAATTTTATCTGTCGCTGTGAAACTGTGATTGCTGCAGACTTTGTCACCTGCAGCCTATTATATTTATCTATACGGGGTAAGACACTATCTTTGTTTAGAGAGAGAGAGAGAGCAGTGGGAGAGCAGTGAACTGAAGCAGAAGAGGAGGGAAACTTTGAAAGTCTTTGTTTGAGTAGATGACAAACATCTGTGGCCGCTGTTTTTCCCTCGGCGCAGGCTGCAGACTTGCCGAAGGGGGGGTTGGCTGGCTACATTAGCATTGTGGTCACTGATATCTGAGCCTATTGTCCTGACTGTGTGGTGCCTGCTGTGTAGCCAGGTTATAGACTTGAACTGCACCATGTAACATCAGAAGGTGTATCCAATTAAATACCTGGCTGGAGCTCTGTTGACTTACATATATAAGTAATTGCTTCCTGTTAACACAACAGCTGAGGCCCATTAACTGCTTTACAGGGGGGCAACTGTAGGTTTTGTTCAGCCATATCAGCTAAATATGTTCACTAGCCCTTTAAGTTTTCTTTGACAGAAGACGCTTTTAAACTGTAGAAAGCTGTTTTGTCAAATGTCTTAATGTGTAGAAAATAACAATATCAATATCAATCAATACCATTCCACAAATAATTCCTGCAGTATTGATATTATATGCACACGTTTCCATTTCCAAGTGTTTGTACTTTTTCCCTTTGATGTCTAACAGTTTTCAGATTATGACTCTAATTGTTTTAGAAGGTTCTTCCCTCTTGGCACCAGATCACACACACCTACTTCAAGTATTTATTTTGCCTCTTGAAGTTCTCCACCTGTGACTATAAGAGCAGGATGAGTAGCACATGAAGCAGACTCCTCATTACAAGGTTTCCCCTTCTGCATGATTAATGATCGATGCACGATTCCTCCACGTGAAAAGAGAAATAGAGAGAAGGAGACATGCATTACATTTATTGGAGTCTGTGCCTTGCAGTGTCAGTCATCAGCCAGCACAAGCCGAGGCATGTTGACTATCACAGCCTCCTGAGGAATTATGAACCCGGAATGCCAATTTTGGAGCACTACCCAAAATTATTTTGTATCTGCGAGGGCCCGTGAATGGTTCTTTGTCTGAGCGAGAGAGCAAAGGGCCCTGCTAAAGCCTTGAGCATTTACAGCTGAATGATTTTTGCTTACCAAACTGTAAAAGACCCGGGAAAAAGACAACAGATAGCAACCACATAGCAGCTCTGCCCCTGAGGTATTCAGTCATAAAGGATTGCCAGTCAATGTCGTGACCAGATGCCTCCTTATGAGCATGGTAACTGATACACTTTTAAGTCTTACAGGAGGTGGAATGCACGCTCACGTGACATCCTCACATCTCACATACCTCAACACATGTGCGCCCAGAGCAACTGATGATGTACAGATGCCATACCTGAGGTTAACATGCATGCAGTTTATGAGTTATTAGGTGGCTGACATGCTTTCTAAGAGTTGACTATTGATGCAGATGTCTAATAAATGTACAAGACAACGGCCATGAGGGACAAATGAATGATTAGAGTTTGTGCACCTGCCAAAGCCATTTATTTTGTGCATCATCACTATGTGAGACACGCTGCTGAGAGCTGTGGGATAGATTTGCTGTCAATGTATGAATCCATCATATGTTGATGATGTACAGGAACTCTGTGATTACACACTAAAGTGGCCTACGGGCCAGACTGTAAATGATATCCTTGGCTCTAATCATGGAGGTCAATGGGTGGCAGAGGAAAACTGTGTGGGTGTGGTAGCTGAGCTGGACAGGTGGGCACTGTAAAATAACTTTTGAACTTCAAGGTAATTGGAGGGCTTAGAGGGGAGGAAAGAAGGAGAGATGACATCAGATCTTAGGTATGGCAAGTAGATAGGATCAGTTGGAGTAGGGTAGATACAACACCCAAGCTGGATATTAACAAGCTGGGACCAATGAAAATAAAAAATAAAAAACAGATTGTGGCAGATGAAGATTTCAAGAAGTCCATATGTCTGTGTTTTGTTTTTTGAGTCAGAGTTAAGCCTGAATCCCTGCTCATGTCAGTTTTGAATAACCTACATCTGGTGCATTGTCCGGCAGTTAATAAATATTTGCAGACTGAAACAAAGACAGTAATCAAACCATATTTTAATCAATCGATTATAGCAGTGTTAGGACGTGGCCTCAACATGAGCTGTTCTCATTGATTACGGTAAACATGAAATCGTAAAACAACAAAGAAAACTGTGAATGAAGAACACGCAGCAAGATGAGGGACTAATCTAAAAAGACAATGTCAGCCTCCAAACGAGCTCCAGATTGATCCAAACACATCTGCGGGAATCAAAGAGCCGTTGTCAGTGTCTAAACAGTATCGGCCTTCATCTCACTTGACACAATCACGCCAGTAAGCTAAATTGTGGAGGATTCTTGTTGCTTTTTCAGCAGGGAGGTGGGGCAGTGTTTTGTTAGGGTTGATTGTGTTCAGGGGCCAATGAGCAGTCCTCCTACAGACTGTCATGACTCAGCTGTTATGTCGGAGAGCGTCTCCGCAAAACACACAGAGTCTTGAAGGGAAGCAAACAAGTTCATGGTGCTTGCACACCTCCAGGAAAGATGAAAGCGAGCATGGTTGTTATGCCTGCAAGGAATCACTGAAAAGGCATTTCAAAAATAATGACTATGTGTGTAGTTCTCTGCACAGCCGTCCCACTCCTGAGTGTTACAGTGGTGACTCTCCAGCAAAAACAAACGCAACCATGATCTGCTTCAAGGAGAGGCAAGTCTGATCAAGGACAAGGACATGAAAACACTGGTTTATTATTACAAACTTTGCCAGTGGGTCTTATTAGCTTTGAACATGACACTGCTGATAATGAAATATTTTATCGGATAAGAGGGAGGGATGCGATAGATGTCACTGTAGCACATTCAAATCTTTGTTTCCTTGATGCTGAATGGAAATCTTTAATCCACATTCACGTCCTTTGTATTCTGTATCACATCACAGACCCTAAGGCAGAGATAAAGCTAATTTTTTGGCAGGTTTAATATAAATTTCCGACCTTAAAGCCTTAATAAATTGTGACCTTCCTTCCGTCTTTGAAGAAAACACTGAGTTTATGATGTTCAGACTTTTATAAAGGCGTCTCCTCATTTCCTTTTCCACCCTCTCAGCCTGACAACAGTTCGAAGGGCAAAGGCTGATCTTAATTTTTGAAGACAGAGAATTGGACTTTCATTGTCTTGAAAACAAGACATATGTGGAGACTTGCTTTTTGGAAGTAAACCAATGGTCATTAAAATGATTAGATGGGCCAAGCAGACTATATTAAAATGTTCTTCAAGCCACTTTCTCCAAAACCCATTCCAATTTCTAAAAACTGCAAACACTCTGTCTGCACAAAGGTCAGGTATTTTGGACCGCTTTCTCGAAACCATCACGGATAATACTTTAAATCCTGTACAAAGCAGTGGGTTGAAACTCGTGCCATAACACAAAGGGCAATGATGGAAAATCGAGTAGGATTCTTGTACCAGGTGTTTGCCAAAGCTGTGGTTTGCCAAAGTTGTGGGTAGATGTAACTTCCAGCTTTTGTCTTTTCAAATGTCAAATTTAAATAATTGAAGAAAAGATTAATTCAAATGGTTTTTGCATAACTTTTTTTTAACCAGCATATTTCTCTGTTTACAGGTGGTTCTTGGCAGAAAATGGACACAGAGAAGGATTAGATAAAGTACAGCAAACTTTAATCCCCTGAGCAGTCCCTTTATCTACATCTTAAACTTGGTCCACCACACTAAAACAGTTACAGACTGACTGAACAATCAGAACACAGCAAATCTTTTCTTTCTTTTTCCACTATGCATTAAGTATTAATCAAAACTACCACCAGAGGAAATAACAATTTTCTCCCTAAATTGTGGTTTTGTGAACAAACAAAAGAAAGAAATTGATTATGCAGCTTTCAGAGGCTGTATCTGGCTTCAATGTATACAAAATAACACAGGAAACCAGAAAAAGCTACTTTAATTGAATACATTGGAGCTCTGAATACAAACCAGTCTCTGCAATGACCTTTCCAGAGTAAAATGTTATTCCTTACATGCACCTAACAGCAGGAAGCTGCCATATACACAGTTCCCCTTCACGTCACTGTAGAGTTATGATCTCCAAGATAAAGGGCAGATCCTTTTCTCCGAAAGAAAAATAATCTGCGGGCTGGAGATTGGGATGCAGACGAAAAGCATGTTTTGGTGACCAAAATAGCAGAGGAGGAAGAGCAACGTCTGGGAAAGAAAAAAAGGAGTATTAGAGAGATGCAAATAGAGAAGACTGGACTGTTTCTCAGCCCAGTTTGCCAGATTTTTAACAGAGCACAACAAACTTGTGCAATTTTCGTGGCAGTTGTCCATGGGAACTCATCCAAGGCACATTGGAGCTGACCCTCCTGGGAGGTCCTGTTAGATAGAGAGTAATACTTCATGAAGACCAAAGTAAGAGTGCACTTCTTCCGTCAAATTTCGGCTGACTACAGGACAACATTTGGAAGGATTACTGCTGAAAGGCTGAGCTCCTCCTTTACTTGTCCTTTTTGTGTGTTTTCTTGCATTTCGAAATGTATTCACTGCCTGCCAGCAAGGACTAAAACTTCCATTTTCCGAGTGGACCAACAGTTTCATCTTATCAGGAGAGACGTTTGAGCTGACTGGAACGAAACACTCACATATCCCCCTACTGAGAGCTTTTGTTTCTGCTGCAGCAGAAGCATTTTACCGCGGGTAGCAATGGAGTTGGAGAAGGGACATATGCCTATCAGGAGAGGGGTGAGCTGGAGTCCAGGAGGGTTGAGAAAACCTCTCCAGACAACGCAAAACATGCACACCCCTGAGACTGAGTGCAATGCATCATGGGAGAAGACAGGATTCAACAAAGAACAGATGAGCCGGAAAACAAGTAAGTGTTTGTTTATCTGGAGTTTTATGTCCTTATTTGGGGAGCCGAAGCAGCAGCAAGAAAGGGTATTATTACGCGATTATGTGACTTCATAATGTAATAAAAATGTAGTAAATACATTTCCAGTTGTTCGTTTGTAGTGCTGCCTTAATGCCACAGTATGGCTTGAACTGCAGTATATCATCATATCAGAAAACCTATAACTGAGAAGAGAAGACAACAAATAGAGAAAACAGACAACCCTGCCTCGGCAGTGCAACTTGACACAGTGAGGTTCTCCATGAAACATCTGTTTCCATGCAGTAAAACTACAGGCTGCCCCAACAGCAGTGGAAATGCAATCATGCATTAGTGCTAAAGGGAAGGCTAACACAATAATGGGCTAACTTGTGGCAAAAGCTGTTCTTCAGACATTTCTGTTTACTTTCACAGCTGTCAACATACAAAAAAAGAGGAGTTCACACTCTATAATAACACCAAAAAGTTATGTTGGTAAATTGCAATATGTAAAAACACTGAAACAATACTCAACTGGAAAGATAATCACCTCTGGGCTGTGACAAGCCTGCTGGCTGCAGTATTCAAAGGGAGTGAAAAGACATTGTGCTGTGCATAACAGAAAGGTCATGGCCATCAGATAATTGTCCCTGATATAGATCTATAGCCTCGGTAGTTCCAACACTGTTCCCATCACTCATTACTCACTAATTGGTTTCCTCAAATGGAGCAAAGATCACCCAAAACAACAAAAAAGCACAGTTAATAGTCAACTACACCTCTGCAGAGACCTTTCATTACACAAAAGTAACAATATGAGAAACAGGGCTTGGTTTCCACCTCTGCTCTGGTCTTTTATTTCCCCCAGGGGGTTTAGGTCACATTCAGTCCGGTAAGATCCCAGGACCTCTGTTAATCCTTGTCTTTCCATACCGCTTCACACATCACCCACGGGGGCCGGTGCTGTCATCCCGCTCACCCCACAGCCATCGCCCGGAGAAAGATAACATCCGACAGGGTAATCTGACCTTTGATACACAAATGCAGGGTTGGCCCCCTGACTTAAATCCTCCCGCTGTGGGGGAGTTTGACGTCTGCTCTCACCCACGCAGGGATGAGGGGATGGGACAGAGAGCAGGGGGATGAGTTAGAGAAAGTTAGGAAGGTAGGAAAAGGGGGGTGGACAATGATGTGGAGGCTCTTGCATCATTGCCCAGGGATGAATTTTTGTCTCTGCTGGAGGACAGGAAATTCCTATCCTGCCCTTGCAGGTTGGAGTTTAAGGCCCAGAGGGTTCAGAGAGGGCAGACACTTGGTTAGGGGGAGTGTGTGCACAATAAACACACACACTTACAAGGTGAAATCCAGACAGACACACAGAGGTCAGGTGCTGGATCTCCGGAGTCTCAGTGGTCTAATCCATACACACATCTGGACTATCTCTTGTCTCCCTTTCCACTGCAAGGGCTGCAACAAGGGTCAGGCACTTCCCTGCCATCACAGGACATTAGACAGAGATAAGCTGCTCAATACTTGTCATTGATTGGACACCTCTCCAGAACTGTGAAAACAAAGTATAGTCTGTGTGCAACTGCTACAACACCAATACTTAAGCAACAGAAGCCCAGGGCTCGTTTCTCAGAGGCATGTATCCGATTTTATAATTAGTGGAAACCCTGTGGAGATGGTGTTGGTGCAGCAGATTTTTGAAAAAGTGAAACAGACCCGGAGGCTGAATGACAGACAGCACAGCCTCCAGCAACCCTCCCTCCCTCCCTCCCCTCCCTGTCTGTCTGTCTGTCTAAGCGCTGGGCTGCGGAGAAAAAAGAAATCCGATCCTGTGTCTCGCTACAGAAAGGGGGGTGTGAAGCCATCAGACGCAGTTAAATTGAAAACTCTTGTGGAAGTACTACAACACAGCGGAGCTCTGAGTTTGACATGAAAAAGGTAAGGGATTGTAGGCAGTAAAGTGGATAACTCGTGAATCATTAGTATATAGCCTTCAATCAAAAGTGAGGAAGAACTTGCACTTGGCTCTTTTGGGAAGAAATACGACTTGTTAGTAGCTGTGTGATGTTTTTTTTGTAACTGAAGACATCGGATACTGGCCATAAACTTTCGGTACAGTTTTCTTTTTCCTCATAAATGAAAAAAGTTGTAGTAGTCCATTGAACTTTTAAGCCTTGCTGTATAATCAGTTTCTTATGGGAAGTGTAATATGCGCTGTAACTTAAAAAAGAACTAATTCATCTCAGATTTAGGCTATTTCTGGTTATTAACACCTAGTTTACATATTACTGGGAATGCCATGTAAGTGATTGGTCATGTAATCAGATAATAACTAAAGTTTTGCCAATTCTCTGATGCTGTTTGCACAAATATGATCACTGTTGGCCATGAAAAATAATCACTGATGGGATTTGCACCTGTGTGTTACTTGATAACCAGTCTTGCTCCCACTTGAGGTTTGATGTTTACAGTGAGGACACTCCTTTTCAAACTCCGCCGCTGTGGCTCTGGTATATTCAGGTAGCTTGTGTCATAAAAATGAAATAGCTAATAAAAATGTAATTGGGACCTGTGGTGGTATTCCCACCCACATTGACAACCTTGATAAAAAAGGCACTGAATATATATTAAGTAGCTGTGTATTAGGTTGGTTGATTTCCCTGTTGCAGTGTATAAAGGAAGGTGATTTATGCTCATGTCAATAGTTGTGAGAGGACCGCTTGTTTAAAGGGTTGTCTGATAATGCTTTCGTCATTGTTATAAATGTCACAAATATGTAAGTTGACTGTTATTTCAACCTCTTATAGTGCCATGTTCTGTCTTTCCTCTGCCAGTGTCAGGTTGATTAATGTACCATAGTGGATGGTGACATTGATGTATTTACTTGCAGGCATAACCAGCATCATCATGAAAGGGTATAGTTTTGCATATGTTTATAATTCAAATGGGGCCTGTAGTCCCTCTTTATATATCAAAATAATGATGTGACCATGATAAAATAAACATGCAGTTGAACTTGAGATGAGTTTATGTAAAAGGAACTCAAGGGTACCCTACAAAGAGTTAATTCAATTACTGTGAGGGCAGACTTTAAGTCTGTAAAATCAATGACAGATGCATATTATTCCTTTTTACTGAGGGAATGATCATGTTAGCTTTATAATCTGTGCCAGGAAAAACTGCATGCAGAATGAGCTCTATAGGAAAGCTTTAGAAGTGATTGATTTATGCATAATTATTGTGATTGGCACATGATTACATCAAATAATGTAGCTGCCTGGATCCATCACCTTATTAAATGAAGAAAGAGTCACAGGGGTGCCAGCTGTCTGAGAAACCTCCTGGAGGGACATAAAATATCTTCCACCAGTCTGAGTTACATGAATTAGATGAATGATCTACCAGATGTGTCACCACAACCAGTTTTTCTCATTTAAAACACCCATCGGAGAATCTATGACTAAAGGTTTTTACTCTCTTAAAAAAAATAAAGATGAAGCTTTGATTTTCCTCTCATGAATTTTGAAGCATGATGTAGTCACTATATTTAAGATGGGAACACTTGATTGTATAGTATGTTTATAGACAGCAGTCAAAAGATGTCATTTTTGGAAGCCATCGATTGTAAAAAATGGTCTATTAAGGCTTCAAGCTGCAGTATTGCACAAATTAACTACAGAGAGAAACCAAAGGCATGTTGGAAGCTCAAGCAGGGAGTTTTCTCAGCGGTGGAGGAATGCTCAGGGAGGGACTACTGCAGATGGCAGAGGAAATAGCTCCACTGCCTGGAATGGAGCTCTTAAGCTCAGAAAACAAACTTGTCAGTTTTAACATAGACATGTCTTATCTCATGATTTCAAGACCATCAGCAGAAGTGCAACTCCGGTGTATGACATGATTGACAACAATTTATTTTGGCTCTGTAGACGTTGATCTAGACCTTTTTATTAACTTAAGTCAACAGACTTTAATGTCTTTCTTATTAAAATGTTTATTTGAAATCGTTCTCCGCCTACGTCTGTTAGTTCTTTGTCTGCAGCTCCGATCTGCTGAGTCAAGTGTCCACAAAGCCGGATTTTTCTCTCTTGGATTGGTTTGAATAAAAAGTACTGCAAAGAACAATCAAAACCATATGGTGCAGAAACAATTATGTGGGTTTTAAAGAGAATATTAAATCCTAGACTAGTTAAAAATTTGTCCTTGCTGGTTCTCTCTATTTGTACATAAAAGCAGTGTGGTGAGCTTTAATTAGATGTTGAGGGAGTTGTCTTTGTTTGAACAGTAGATGTAGCACATTGCCAAAGTGAAGGTCCCTTTTATTATTAATCAAAAAAACATCTCTGTTATGAAGAAAGACCAAATTCCTTGTTTCTCTCATTGATTAGCCTTTCCCATTTCTCTCCCTGTCTCTTTCACTCCAGATCTGACCCGGAGTGCCAGTTTATCAGAGAAGGAGCTAAAGGAGGCCCGTGTCAGGAGTCAGATCATTGCTGCTCAGCTCACCATCCCTTCGAACTCCAGCTCCAGAGGCGTTCAGCTCTTCAACCGGCGCAAGCAGAGGGTCAACGCCTTTACACTTGAAAGCTGTGGAGAAGGGTCAGAGGAGGACAGAGCTGAGAATGTGAAAACCAACCCCTCGTCTAACAAACTAACATGGGCAGAGAGGAGCAGTGAGGAGAAGGATAGAAACCTGAACTTTAAAAATAGCACTACCAAGCCACTCTTGTCACCACCTGGGAGGGTACATTCAGTAGGTGATATCACGGAGGACCCAGGTAAGGATTTCCACAAGGAAGAGGACATGGAGGACCGTGTTATCCAAGAAAGACATTTCCTCCCTGTCAAGGAAGAGCAGGAGGAAGAGGAAGAGGCTAGAAATAAAATCCACGAGGAGCTTGAGGACAAAATAAAGGATGAGATTCTCCCTGGAAGTAATAATACTGATCCAGTTCTTATTGGACATGCTGAAGAAGAAGCAGAAATGAATGGGGGCCACACAGGACCAGTTCCCCCAGGAAAGCACCACAATGACTGCCACAGTACCTCTGGACCCGAGAGGGCTTCTGTGTCTACATCCAAGCAGACAAGCACTATCATCAATCGAACTGCCAGGCCCTTTTTCTCGCCGCTGACAGTGCAGTCTCAAGAGGCAGTCTGCCCTGTCATGGAAATACCCCCTGCTCCCTCTTACGCCACTCCTCCTCTCCCTGCTTTCACTGCTCCCCAACCTGCAGCGTTCTCACCTCCACCGCCTCCGTCTTATCCCACACCTCCTCTACCGGCCTTTACAAATCAACCCCCGCAAACCTACTACTCCAGTCCACCTCCGATGTCTCCTGTCATGTCCCCTTCCTCTCCTCCACCTTCCCAGTTCCCTCTTTCTCCTGTATCTCATTACCCACCTATGCCCCATTATGGCCCTCCCACGGCCCCTAAGCCCTCCACCTTTGTTCCTCAGCCTGCTGGAGAGAGGAAATCGATACAACCAATCAAAACAGGAATACTCGAGGAGGGTGCTGCTAGAAGGGCAAACAGGAAGGCAATGTTCACCTTCAAAGAGAAGCCAGTGGTAGCTCCAAACCCTGAGTTGCTCTCTCTGGTGCAGGGGGCGGATGAAAGGAAGAAACACGGACATAGATCTGTGCCTGAGCCAGCATCCGAGGAAGAGTTACTGGCGCTGGGTGCAGAGGCCTCTAACTTCCTCGCCAAGGAAGAGGACACAGCTGAGGAGGCAAGAGCTCCAGAGTGGGCTTCTTGCCTGAAGAGCTCCAGGACCCGACCGAGGGCAGAACACAAGCCAGAGCAAACACTCTCCAATGTATCAGGAAAGGGGGCTGAGCTGTTTGCCAAGCGTCAGTCCAGGATGGAGAAATATGTTGTTGAGAAACAAAATGCAGGAAAAATTAGATCTCCTTCTCCCACGATGTCCCTGCCTCCATCTTGGGTGTACCCATCAAACATGCCTGGCAGGGTCAAGGCCATTGCTAAAAACTCTGACATGAGTGCTCAGCTTTCACAAAACATAAAGGCCCAACAAGCGGTCAAGCAAAAACCAAGACAAAAAGCTCCAGCACCAGAGCCAATTCCAGAGCCACCTCCTTTAGAAAACGGTTGCTCCAAGATAGAGATGGACCTGTCAAGGCACCGGCCCTACCAGCTTAACTCTTCTCTCTTCATCTTTAACCCAGCCAAGGACCCCATTAGTACCTTACCCAGAGGAGCACCGCAGTCTAGGAACCTGATGTCTACCCAGTCTTTCTCCAGGCAGACTTCCTTACCTAATAACCCTCCTTCTCACTTCAGTACCCAGTGTATGTCTCCACAGCTGCCTCTCAGCCCCACAAGAGGAGGAGCAGAATATCCATCAAATTCAGCCTCTGGGCAGCCGAGGATCAGTTCTCCTATGTCTGCCTTTTCTCCAGAGCGGGTGTCCTCTCCTCGGTCAGTGGTCCAGGCACCGAGGCCCATGTTTTCTGCCAAGAAGGCAGGGATTGCACCACAGGTGTGGAGACCCTCTCTGTACCATTTTTAGAAAATATGTTTACATCTTTTGTAGAGATTCCACACATGGTTGGAAAACTGATTTTAGTAGGGCTAAAATGTAAACTTTACTGCACTTTTTTGTTCAACTTGTGCCTTGTTCTAATACACTAATACTATCTCTTGCATTGTAGGTAACAGAGTAGAATCTTTTTAAGTGTGATATGTTTTAATCCTCACATGTTTTAATCATATAACAATTGATTTACAAGAAAAGCAATAATAATTGCTGCTATGGCCAGACCACGTCTGTATCTTAAAATTAGAAGTGAATACATTTTAATTGATCCGTGAATATATAATAGTATTTTTGTCACTGTAACAAAATCCCAGCAGCAGTGATTAAAACAAAAGTGTGCCTTGATGTAATCAGTTCCATACCCAAAGCCGCTAAGCACGTCAGCACTAAAAACCTTCAATTTTTAGTGCGGTTTAAAATAAGATGAGAAACAATCTCACACTTTTTCCACTTTGTTTCCCAATTCTGTGGGTACCAGGGTGATGCTGCTTTACAAAGCACTTTAACAGATGGTCTGGCATCTGTTGTATGATCTATGATTTGCAATTTAATGCTGCTCACTGACGAGAGCGAGATAACTCCTTTTATGTCTTTATGTCTTCAGGGTAAATTACTCTGCTTTCCAGCATTTTCTACCTAAATATATAGTTCTTGGATTCTTTGATGTTTCAAATCTGCCGACTGCATGCTAATTTGCATCATGGACCTACATATGTATTGTTTCTGTGACTTAAAACAGTAATTCCAGAAGTATTTTTGTCACAGAACATCATCAATCACTGTTGTTTTAGACTACAGGTTTATGTATGTCATTTCATAAACCTTTATTGACTGCTCTCTTCTGCTGTTATTCTATCTGTTATGACTGATTTTTTGTGTTAAAAAGTTTTTTTCCTTCTCTTATTAAAGCTTTATGCTAACACTCTGCTGTGACCTCTTCCTCCTTTTTCTCATTTCCTGACTTCACAGGCTTCTTTAAGCCATTCATTTTACTGTTAAGTGTTTGTTATTTCACTTTCCTGCCCTTCTTGCTATCACTGCAGACACTTGAACACACTAATAAATGCCATGCCTCCATTAAGGAAACAGATAATTTACCATCAGAGACTATTTTGGAACACAGTATGTGACATTTAAAGTCTGAAAGTAATTATTATTATCAGCTTGCCATTGCAAAAAATTTCACTCTTAAGAATTTGAGTTATGTGTCTTTGTGTTCAGACCTGACCCATGGTCTTGTTGGTCTTGTGTGGCTCAGACATTTAGACAAATGGAATGACCCTTGACCTGGGCCTTGTTTCTTTCTTAACTTTGGAAATGTGACTGTTAACATTCATCTTCTTCAAACATAACTTCTCTGTAAGCTCTAGCTGTTCTGTATATAACATTGAAGACGACCTTTATATTATTATCACGAGTGGAGATAGTTAGCTCTTAATTACTATGTTCATAAGATGGAATGCTACCCTTGCTTCAGTTGAGTAACTTCATATCCCTGTAAAGGTTAACCAACTCAGGAAGGCCATATGACAGTAACCTGAGAGAGACACTAAAGACCGGGCCTATGTGTACTGGTAGTGAGGAAACACAGACAGAAGAAGGGAATAGATATGACCTGAATGCTACTTTGGCTCAGACTAAACACATAAATAATGTTTTATCAAAACAGATTCACTTAGTATAAGTAAAACGTGTCTTATTTAACGGGATTAGGATCTGTTCAGTTGTAGAGTAAAAATATTGGTCTTATGCAGAACAAAAAATGTCATGCTCAACTCAAACTATTTATATAATAGTAAATCTAATAATTCAAAAGTTGCACAAGCATTATACTACAATCTCCTATCGTGCATGTTTTTGTGTTATATTTGTGTATATATATGTCCAATAAAAAGTATTTTATTTGTCATGGTCCAACAGACACCTAAGGACTGTTCCCCAGTTGAAATCCCCAGTGAGACTCCCACACCAACCAGGACACCCAGCCTCACCAGACGTTTCAGCAGCCCAGAGGGCCCCAGCACTGGTGCCTGGACTCCCAGCCTCCAAACCAATCGGCCCTCCACCACCATCTCTAGCCGCTCAGTTACTTCCCCCGTATCCTCTCCCAGGGGTACGAGATGCCAGTCCCCTATGGCCTGTCAGAATATCCAATTATCTGCTGTTACCTCCACTACAACATCCAGACCCTCCCAGACATCTACAGCCACCTCTTCACACTCTCCTTGGGGTTCAAGATGTCAGTCCCCAGTGGTGAGCCAGAATACCCAGTCCTCCTGCAGCTCCTCTATTCCTGGTTTCAGACCTTCCCAAACATCTACGACTACTTCTCCTTTTTCTCTTCCTTGGGGTTCAAGATGCCAGTCCCCAATGGTAAGCCAGCATACTCAGTCTTCCACTGTCACCTCCATGTACACATCCAGACCCTCCCAAACCTCCACAGCCACATCCCCACGCTCTCCTCCTTGGGGATCAAGATGCCAGTCCCCCATGGTGAGCCAAAATACCCAGTCTTCCACCATTTCCACTCTTCCTACTGCCAGACCTTCCCAAACAACTACTACTTCTCCTCCTTGGGGATCAAGATGTCAATCCCCAAAGGTAAGCCAGAATACTTCAAGTGTCAATTCTACACCCAGACCAACCCAAACATATACAGTCACATCTCCAGTCTCTCCTCCTTGGGGCTCACGTTCCCAGTCTCCTGCAATCTCTCAGACCAGTTTATCATTCCAACCCACTAAATCTCTGCACACATCCTCTGCCACCTCTCCAGTTTCCCCACCCAAAGACAGTCGCTGCATGTCCCCCATTGTTAATAACCTAGACTCTAAAGCCAACCATCGCATCCTGGCCAAGAACATCATCAATGCAGCCAAACGTAAAAACAGCCCCTCACCTGGAGCACTGAGTGGGCACAGCCTCCCCATCTCACCACTGGGCAATTCCCATCATGGCTATGACTGTCACAAACCACCCATGAGTCCTTTCCAGTCACGGGCATTGGGAGCTCAGTCCCCTGTCTTCACCAGCCCTCCTGCCACCCCAACACAGAGGATCTGCTCTCCTGTGAGGCTCTACAACACTCGCTCCCTCACCGACTCTGATGCTTCTGTTGAGTCTGAAGACTCAGGCCTCCGATCGCCTGGCCTACACTCCTACAACACCTGTCCCCGTGGGTGGGGCGGTAGCTTGAGGGTCAAGAGAAGCACAGTCTCCACTGACCTGTGAGGGTGTTACTGGGTCGCAATTAAGAGATTATTTCAGTTTTCATAGACTTTTGTGGCATTGGATCAACCAGTAAAAGAGTTTCTGATGATATTTCAGAATAATATTAGATAAGTTACCTTTCTGTAACTTTGAATAGGATCCTGGACAATAATACATGTTGTATCAAGGTAGTATTAGTATTTTATATGACTTACATTCAAAATATGTATGACTGACAAGAACAAGCTTTTAATATAACGCAGTTGCTGTGGCTTGTATGCTTCTTACATACCAAAAAGTGCAAAGACTCAAAATAACCAAAGAAATTTGAATTCACTTCAATGAATGTTACTTATAATTTTTTTCACCTTCACGGCCACTTTTATAGTTGAGTAGTAGTTTATGTTTACTGGGCTGACGCGAGTCAAAATGGGAAGAGACTTAAAAATGTAGACATAGAAGGGACACATAGAATGAGTAATGTGTAAATATTTCGCTCGTTGGACTGTACAGTACTTTGGTTAAGGAATTCTCAGCGTAATGTATTAGTGAAGCATCAAACTTAACTATTCATTGAATGCGGATTTAGAACATACTGGATAAAATGAGTTTCCATAAAAAGACACAGTGGTAAGTGGGACACGTGCTATACACATTATCATACATGGTCAATTATTCACCACAGTTTATTATGCATTTTAATCAAAAAATCATATGCATAATTATCGCAGTGCAATAATCACAGTGTATATATGTTGCTTTATGTACTGCATTTGCTAAAATGAATGTAAGCTTTACAGACAGATTGACAGAGAATGACAAAGTGAGCGTTGAGTATGAAGAGTTACGTGGAGGTTCAATGGGGCATTGATGCACCTGTTCAATCAAACACTGTTTCCATGTTTCAGGAAAAAAAGATTTCAAATGTTTCAAAACATTTAATGATAGATGAAGAACAATTTAATGAACAAATATTAGCTATTAACAATTTAATGGCATATTGATTGTATTATTCATATTGGAGATGGATATGTATGTCTAGGTTTTGTTGCTTTTCCTGGAAGAAGAGCACAAACTCTTAGTAAGTCTTTTTTATATCAATAATGTCTTTAAATAGAAAGTGCCTGTACTTATTGTAAAGTGGCTGTTTGGATGAGGTTTAGAAGCAAATGCATGTGTCACACAAGTAGAGAAGGTACAACAAAATGTTGTTAAAAAGGTTGGAAAAAAGGTTAGACGAATGTTGTATGTTGTAAAAGTGTTTGTGAGAAAAGGATCAGAGGAATGGATTGTATTTTAAATACATAACTCTAATGTACATTCTCTTTAACTTCTAAAGTTTCTTTTTATACTTGATTTGCACTTCTGTTCATTCAATTTCAGTAGCTAAGTTGGCTTTGTTTAAAACTTGATTTGCTTAAACAGGTGTAATTCACAATAAAAACCAGCGAATAAATATCCTGCTGTAAAGTTAATAACATTCCTTCACTATTCAACACCTTCACTCAATGGTGGCAATTAACTGTAAACCTGACTGCTGCGTTCAAACCACAACTGTCATCTTGTTTCAAGTGTGGGATTATTGAAAGCACGTTTACACCATTCCTTATCTTTCCCAGACCTGTACCAGCACACACAACAGATCATTCCTTCACTCCCTGGCTCCAGGCCAAAAGCATCAGCACATTTCTAAATATTAACTTATGTGTGTCTTTTGAGTGACAGGGACACCTGCTACATGGTAACTTGCCTCCTTCAGCAGGATTAAACATATCACTGTCATGGATTGGTTTCAACCTAGGTCACCTCTGGACAAACCAAACATTGCTGACACCCTCAAACACAGAAAATAATCAGTGCAAGTTTGAGTTTTGCAATTTTGCAAGCAGAGTTTGGGGGTTTCTGTAATTGCATGCCCGTATTTTTTCAATACAGATGAATTTTCTCTAATTTCATAACTGTATGATGTCTGAAAATGAATGCAAAAATAAAAACACACACCAATTTAAAAAAATGTTTGGTATGTCACTTGTTTTATTATCATACTTTGTAACACCTTGAACTGAAAATAGCAGTTTAATTATTACAGCTTTACACACTACACCTTTTTTAATATACCACAATAAAACATTATGAGGGTATGTCATATGATGCACATCAATTCATATACAACACATTTATCCACACATGTATACTTTTAAATTAGTCATGAATATTTAATTAATTTACTTAGTAAATTAGTACGGTCTTTCCAGAGGATCTCAAGAAGCGATCAGGCACACAGGCAGTTGGCAGGTCACAGATATAAGCTTGATCCTGACCTTTCAAGGCTTTAAAAACAAGCAATAACATCTTAAAGTCAATTCTAAAACTTACAGGTAACCAGTGAAGGGCAGCAAGAATGTATGTGATATGGTTGCTTTTCTTGCAGTGTTTTGTATAAGTTCAGCAGTCAAAAAGTATCAGGTTTGCCTGCTGATACCAGAATAAAGTGCTTTCTCTGGAGGAGACAACACCAAGGATGACCTTTTCTATATTTGTAAATGAAAGGAATGACCTTATCTTGGTTAAATGTCTCCCCACTTTAGGCACCTGAGCATGAAAAAGTACAACTAGGTTACCGGCCTCTTCTTTATCATTATGAAATAAGCAGTCCCACATAGATTTTGTGGTGTTTTGGGATTGCCTGATTTCAAAAGGTGCTTTTCTTAAACATTGTAATGCATGTTGCAATGATTTTAGGTCTTTAATCAAATTAAATAAAACTGCTGGAAAAAGTGAAAATTGTTTGAAATAGTTTAGATTTAGATTTTGTTGTCCAGTAAGAATACAATTGCAAGTAGTTTTCAGCATTTTACATGGGGGACTGATTAATGAAAGTCACAGGAAACTACAATAATTAGTCAAATTTGCACAAAAGTTGAGGAGAATTCAGAGTGATTGGTTGAATTTGTATTAAATGTTGTGATCGCAACATCCAACTTCGTTGAGGGACTGGATAAAGAACCTAGAAAAGAGATCTGTAATGCTGCTGTAGTGCTGGAGCCATGAGTGGTAATCATAATAATTTCTGATTTGTAGTCATTCAACTGTAGCAAATGTTTGCTCATCCAATTCTTAATTTCAGTGAGGTACAACATAATACAGCATACATTGGTAATACCAGGCTTTATTGAACATATAGTTGTTTATCTTCCATGTAGCGATGGAAATCGATATTATGCCTATGCATGAATTGCCCCAGGAATAGCATGTATATAGTAAACAGGAGGGGACACAGAATAGACCCCTGGGGGACCCCACAAAAGAGAGGGGCACAATGCAATACATTTATTACACTTTATATAGTGGATATAGTTGTATATATTTTTATTATATTTCTTTTTATTATATTTTATTCTATTTTATTATTTCTCTAGTCTTTGAATTTCTCCTATGGGAGATCAATAAAGGAACATCTCATCTCATCTCATCCCATCTCATCTTATGTCAGTTGGAGGCTTTTCCAGAGCCACATCAGTAATAACATTGTTTTTCAGATGTTTGATTAAGATTGCTGAACTGAGGTCAAGGAGAACAACCAAACACTGCCTGTAGACAGGACCTTTTGTGTTTTCAGTAAGTTTTGCAGCCACCACAGTTTCTCCTAAAACACTTCACAGCCCATTCCCATTACAAAGTCTTCAAATTGACCACTAGATGCCACTAAATCCTACACACTGGTCCTTTAAAGCCCCTCCATTAAAACTGTATGCCAAGTGATTAATGTGGATGCCATGTGGATATTTTGATGTCACTTAACCTCAAATTTCTTAGATTTCTATTATTACAACATAATAACTAGATGATAATAAATTCAGTAGTATTAGTATATTATTTACATGTAGGCCCCTGGTTTTTATGCTCTTTGAAAATGCTCACAAGTTTGTCTGTACAGGCACATGTACAGGACCAACCACCACATTTGTAGACATATTTCTTTGGTTTCGCAGTCTAATGTTATGCTTCACTGTCAGTGCAACATACCACATATTTGTGGTGATAGTTAGGGGAACTGAAATATCCCCAACAGCAACCCCTCGGGGTGAAAAGCAAAGCAAAGCCATTTATCACAGGTTCATAGAGTGCCATCTGTAGGACTCCAGACAGAAGTTCAAATGAAGCAGCACTGTTGGAGCTGATTGTGTACACGCAACTGTTTCTTAAAATAAACATTATATCTTATATCTCATGGCCTATTTAATAATTTATCAAAGCATTAAAATTAGGCAATATTGTGGAAAATAATACAGAAACACTTTAATATCCCCTTATCAAAGTAGGAATAAATGTAAGTCCTAACACTCATTTTAACACAGCAGGAAAAGCAGAAGCATAATTAATAAAATGAATGACGACTGCATTTGCTCATTCTCAGGTAAAATGCATGTTGGTGGAACAATTGTTAATCTTATTACTACGCTCCTGTGCTTTTTCTGCTACGACAAAATGCCTATTGTGAAACAGTCGGATACTCTCCCAGTGTCAGTGTCATGACATTAATCATACTTCTATAGCAGTCTTTCATTTCCAGCCACAACATGGTGAGCAGTGTGACATCCCATGATTACGACTTATGTTAATGTGGCATCAGCCGTTGCGTTGAGAGAGAGAAGGAAAGTGATATCTGTGTTAGATATCACACATATCATTCAACTCAAAAAATGTGAAAGGCTTGCAGGAGAACTGCAAATAAGGTGGTTTATAGTCAGCAGCTCTACGCTGACTTTGGGAGCCTTTATTCAAAAGCCGAGCAGTTTCAACCTCCACTACTCATCTCTTTGTATTGGGTTTTTTTATTTGTAAGATAAAGAATATGCTTTATTATATTGTTACCTCATTTGCTCTGGGTGGGAATACAATATGCTCTCTGAACCATGCAAATAAAATACTGTTGTCTATCCTTTTTCCCCCCTCAGTTTTGCATGAATTAAAACCTCTGCTGCATCTACTAACCAGAAAGAAAGCACTGTGCTCAAATTCAATGGGTGTATAAAAAAAACAGAATATTTTAACACAATTTCTCACACTTTGCTGTCCACCTATTAAAAAAAAAAAAGTGAAAACCCTCCAGTGAGACACAAGAGGCCGCTCTTGAGGTGAAGAGGGCGAAAGCCTCGTTTGACAGCAGGGGCTTGTTTTACTGCACAAAACAACCAGGATGAAGGTTTCAAGCGACGATGCGGCAACAGAGATAACCGAGGAGAGGTTTAGGTAGCTGAAAGGGGCCGACAGCTTTTATCTACACCTCCCTCTGTGCGCCACAAACGCCAGGCAACTTGAATATCGACCCAGCTGCAGATGAACGCCTTAAACTGCCCCTCGGATTTGTTGTTGTTAGCCACCAATGCTAACCATAGAAGTTGCGAGCTAGCCTAGCGTGCTAATGGTGAAAGCGTTTAGTTTATCTTAGCTTGTGTGTGTGTGTGTGTGTGTTTGTGTGTGTGTTTGGTTTTTACTCAGTATGTTTGTTGTATGCTGATGGAGCCAGCTAACTGCGGCTTCGGTGGTTCAAGAACTGCAGCTTTGGTTCAGCTTTTTGAAGTACCAACCCTTAACATAGTAGTTTTCTAGCTCTCCAGTTAGCCACCACCCCCCCCCACCCCTCTTTTTGGAAGAATGAGTAGAAAACACAATCATTTAAAAGGAGCAGAGGTCAGCTGCTGCGTGAAATACTTCTTATTTGGATTCAACATTTTATTCTGGGTGAGTAAAGCAACTCTTTGTACCGGTTAGCTCTCTCGATAGCATGAGGGGGGGAGAAAAAAAAAAAAAAAAACGAGGCTAATTGTGCTAACTCATTAAATATCGTGAATAAACCTCGAGGTCTCACTGATAAGATCCTTTAAGTTAGTTGAGTTAACTAGAAAAAGTGTTAAATTAGGTGCCATTCGTTGTTTGTTTGTTTGTTTGTTGCTTT